TGAAAAACTTTTAAAGGAAAAATGATTTTAAAAAAAGCACCCAAATGAGTATTACCCAAAGGGCAGGTTTATATGGTTGCATGCATTGTTGTAAATTTAGAGAAAAAAGTATTCGTTTGGTAGTGTATTTAAAAAATAAAAAATTAGATTGGGGTTTTGGTTTTAAACATTTTATGTGATATAAAATTTTGAGAAACATTTAAGATATACAATTATAAGGGTTTAGTTATTTAGTATTTAATTTTGGGTTTTTGGGGGTAATAATTTAGAAGAGCTTGAAATTTTTAAAAAGGTTGTTTCTTTTAAAATTTTAAGGGAATAAATTCCAGGATTTTAAGGGGTTTTAAAGTGCATTGAGTTTTTTTTAATAGGTAGGGTGGGGGCGAGGAAAATTTAAAAGAAATTTATCCCCCCCCGGGCCCTTTTGGTTATGGTTTATGTTTCTGTTTTAGGTTGGCAAGGAGATGTTTGAGGGGAGGTTAAAATCAGAGTTTAGGGTTTTATGTATGTTAAAAGGGGCAATAAAAAAGTATGGGTGTTTTGTATGGTGAGTAGGGTTTAAATGTAATTTAATATTGGTGGAGTGTGTGCCTTAGTGAGGGAAATTTTTTATCATTTTAAATGCCGCCTTTTTTTTTGGGTAATTAGTGGGCTGAGATGGTTTCTTGGGTTTTTGACCCCTGCCCCAAATTCCATTTGGTGAGATAGGGGTAAAAAAAGAGAGTGATATAGGGGCCCGGAGGGCCCGACTGTGGAGCTAGTACCGAAACTTCGATTGTATGCCTACTTTTTGGAAAATTTTTTTTTGAAAAATTTTTTGTATAAAAGTGTTGAAATTTTTAGTCATTATCCCCGGTGGATTCCCAAAATTTTCCCTCTTTAGCTTTGTAAAAGGGATTTCCTTTATCATTATGTTTAAGGGGGGTCTGTAAACTCTGTTACCCAAAATGAATGAAGTAGGTTTTGTCCCAAAGTTTTGTGTAAGTTTGTTAGTACTCCTTTCCCGGTAGATATTTTCTTTTAATTCGGTATTTACAGATTGGGTAGCGTGACTGGGCTGGTGGGAAAAAGACGTATGTTGTGTCATCACAAAAAAGTGTGGGTTTTTAGTAATTGAGAAGCATTTGGGAGGTCATTTATTATAGGGGGAAAAAGAAGAGGGCCAAAGGGCCTTCCCCGTGGGACCAAACCCCCTGTTAAATTTGGTTTGCAGAAGAGTTTTCCCCCTTTGCGTACACATATTGGCTTTCCCGTTTCTGAGGTTTACTTGAGGGAGTTGAGGGGGTGGGCCCCTTATTTCCTTTGTGTGACAATTTTACGTGGAGCAAGTCCCTGGTCAACTGTTTTCAAAAGCTTTTTCGTAAGTCAATTTTAAGATTTCCCCCGTGGGGAAAATTCTTTTTTTTCTATTTCATTTTATATATGTTCTAAGCATGTTTTAATACACATTATATTTTTATTAGGCCTGAATCCAAAATTTCAGGGGTTTTATTAAAGTTTTTGGGGGGATTTAAAGGGAGGGGTAGATTCCCTTTTTGAAATTAAAATTTTTTGAAAGGATTTTTTTAGAAGGGGGGTAATTTTTGGGTATTTCCATGGTTTTTCAACTCTGTTTGGGCTCCTCCTTTGTGGATCGGGGGGGCCCTTTCTATTTTGAGTACGTAGGGAAGGTGGGGATTCAATGGATTTTTTTAAGAGTGTTTCAATGGTTTGGGGATAGCACTTGTACACTTTTTTTATATTTTTGGGTGGAAAAGGGATTTAAATCTCCTGCCTTGTTTTTTAGTGCGTTTTAAAAAGGGGGAAATTCCCAAAGGGTTAGTCGGGGCAAGGAAAAAGTGTGTTCGGGGAGTTGCCCGGGGAGGTAGTCATTTTTGGGGGGGTATCTGAGCTGGGGGTTTTATTGGCAAAGGGTTTTTTCCATATGGAGAAAAAAATCTTTTAGTCTTTTTTGCTGTTTCCGTTGGTGGGGAGTTGGGGTTCCCTCTGATTTTGTAATTTAAATTTTGCTATTTCGTGATATCTTTTTTGTTCCCAGGGAATTTTTTTTTTAAGGGGGTTTTTCCCGGGGCCTTTTTTTTTTCACCCCTTTTTTTTTTTTTTAAATTGGAAAAAACTGTTTTTTCATAATACAATTTTTTTTTTCCCTTCTTAAACAGGGTGGTTAGGATTGACCCAGTAACGTTTTTTTTTGGTCTCTGGTTTTGGGCCCATTCTGTACTGTTTTTCTATTGGTGCTTTGTATTTATGGATTTGAGAATGCTGGGGGTTAGCCTGGGGCTGTTCAGTCTCTTTGCTGTATCTGCTTAGTTTTTTTAAGGGGAGTGCTTGTTATAGAGGTATTGAGGCTTTTTAAAAATTAATACATTGTCAAAATCGTATTGATTTTTAGCTCAGTGTCCATCAATGTTTGCTACGCTGTTTGTGAAGTTATTAAGGCTCCTCATTTTTGAATTGAAGGGGCTTTAGTGTGTCTTGGGGTAATTTACCCAAAAGTTTTTTTTGAGGGAAAATAGGTAGTGGGCTGTGGTTTATCAGAATTATGCGGGATTGGGGGATTTAACGTTTTGGGAAGGGCCAAAGGGATGGGGGGGTTTCCCCTGTATTTTCACCCTTTAAGCACTGAAGCTTTTTTGGGGCCCCTGGTGGTTATTTGAAATACAAGCACTAAAAACAATGGAATAATACAAAAATAAAAAAGCGGGGGACAATTGAAATCAACCGCAATGGCTTGTTTTAAGTTGGGACCTGGCTATACACGGGGTCTTGGGGTGGGTGGGCCCGCTCCCCGCCGCATGCGTTAGATGGGTTTTTTTCGTTGGGAGAGCCAATTTTTTTATGCCAAAATGCGCCGTTAGACGAATTTTCCATTTCTTGATGCTGCTGCTGGGCAGGGGTCCACTGTATTTCAATCTCCTCCTGTATGTTCTGACCTCTCCAGTGATTTTTATATAAATGCACCACGCAGATACAAGCGGGTATATAAAGACAAAGATCACAGTCAGAAGGCCGAGTGGATAAGAGCACTGCTTGGGAATCTTGTCCATCCCAGTAGCAGTATCAAGTCCTGCTGACTGCGATCTTTCTCTGCATATACCCACTTGTTTCTGCATGGTGCATTGATTAAAAATCGCTGATAATTGCACAAATACTGTCAGTGCATTTCTAAATGCATATTAGACTGGCCAGTTGGATGATTATTGGACAAGTGACATCATTTGTGTACTCTGGAATATCAGCAAAAATCGAGCATTTCCACTACTTTGAGCTCAATTTTAAGCTACTTTCAGTCCTGAAACTAATCAAAATCATGTTTGTTTCTGTAACATATCTTCCATTGTATCAAATGTGACCAAGAAACCAAGAATACAGTGGACCACAGGTTCGCGAAGTCATCAGTATCCGATAAATACGGTATCCGAAGCATTATATCGCAAAAAATTTGCCTCGGTTCCCGTTACAAAACCCGGAATGCGATACGATTCATACGAGACGTGCCCACGTGTGGCCTGAACTGCCCCATGTGTGCCAGTGTTTACAAGCCAGCCAGTGTGTGCGCATCTAAGGATACATTCGGTATATTCCATATTATTCATATTATCACTGTTTTTGGTGCTTGTTTCTGCAAAATAAGTCACCATGGGCCCCAAGAAAGCTTCTAGTGCCAACCCATCGAGACAAAGGGTGCTAATGACTATTGAAATGAAGAAAGAGATAAGTGCAAAGTATGAAAGTGGAGTGCGTGTTCCGGACCTGGCCAAGTTGTATAGTAAACCCCAATCAACCATCTCTACTATAGTGAGCAGGAAAACAGCAATCAAGGAAGCTGTTCTTGCAAAAGGTGCAACTGTGATTACAAAACAGCGATCGCAAGTGTTAAAAAATGTTGAGAGACCGTTATTGGTGTGGATAAATGAAAAACAGATAGCAGGAGATAGCATCTCTCAAGAGATCATTTGTGAAAAGGCTAGGCAGTAGCATGACGATTTAATTAGAAAAATGCCTGCAACTAGTGGTGATGTGAGTGAATTTAAGGCCAGCAAAGGTTGGTTTTAAAGATTTAAGAATCGTAGTGGCATACATAGTATGATGAAAATCACCCTGACACAGCTACTGCAAGCCATGTTGGCAACCTGTACACTGACAATGTTGTGAACCACTTTAGGAAAGTCATAAAGGAACGAGAGGTACAGGCCTCTATGGACAGATAAGTTGTGCGACAGAAGTCCAGTGACTCTAAAACTGGTCCTAGTGGTATTAAAAGAAGAAGGGAAGTAACCCCGGAAAAGGACTTGCCAACTCATGTTCTAAACATTAAAAACTTGACACTCTCCCCTCCTCCTATCCCATCAATCATCACCAGATCATCATTAAAGGTAAGTTTCAATTATTCTATTGTGATTATTCTATTGTTATTCTTGTTATTGTAATTATTCTATTGCATTAAACTTAATATTTCATGTGGTAAAAGTTTTTTTTTTTTCATACTTTTGGGTGTCTTGCACAGATTAATTTGATTTCCATTATTTCTTATGGGGAAAATTGACTCGCTTTCCGATAATTTTGCTTTATGATGAGCTCTCAGGAACGGATTAATAACGTGAACCGGGGGTCCACTGTATAACCATAAAAACCATACAAAAATGCACAAAAAAGTCTGCTTTAAAATAATAACATGGTCGCAGTTTTTTTCTCATACACTGCATGTCACAGGATTTTTTTTATATGGTGCACACCTACTGCATAAACCCATATATAGACCCAGATTTACCACTGAGAGCTTATCTGAGTGAGCTGAGCTCATGGCGTCATACTATGGGACCGATACTCGCTTCAAAGCCGTGATATAAGGGGACTGACACTGAAAGGGTTAAGCTGGCCTCAGCAATTCAATATCTCAAGCACTGAGCAGTATTTCAATCCATGGTGTACAACATCCAATACTGTTAGTATAAACACATGCTATAAACCGTACAATGGAATCTATGTGTGATTATTCTCCCTTACTTCCCTTAGTTTATCAGGATATAAAGAGTACAAGATATGAGAAGGAAAGCAGTCTTCCAAATGAAAACCTAATGAACCAGCTTTACACACACAAATTCACTTATGCTTGACAAATACAGTATTAATTAATAAACATACCTGCATCCTCTCTCTTAATTCTAGTTACGTCTTTCCCAAGGACTTTTGCAGCCTCCAGGTGACGTTCAGGACACATTGAGGCGGTGAAGGTGAACACAGCCGGAGCAGTCACCACTACTGATAATCCATGAGGAATAATTGCATGATCACACCTAAAATAAATTTACACAATTTACAATCAATGGCCACCTAACACAAATGCAGAAATTAAAAGTAAAATACAATAAAATGTTTATTTCAACTGATCTTACATAGAAGCTACAATAGTTATATTTAGATACTATTTGTTTACAGGAGAAATAAATGGGATTAAATCTGGAGTACATGAGGGAGTTAGAGCTAAAAGAAGGGGTAGCAGTAATGTTGAAGGATCAGTTATGGAAGGAGAAAAGAGAATATGAATGTGTAAATTCAAGGATTATGTGGATTAAAGTAAAGGTTGGATGCGAAAAGTGGGTCATAATAAGTGTGTATGCACCTGGAGGAAGAGGAGGAAAAAGAAAGAGAGAGAGAGAGGAGAGAGAGAGAGAGAGAGGAGAGAGAGAGAGAGAGAGAGGAGAGAGAGAGAGAGAGAGAGAGAGAGAGAGAGAGAGAGAGAGAGAGAGAGAGAAATTTTGGAAGATGTTAAGTGAATGTATAGGAACCTTTGAACCAAGTGAGAGAGTAATTGTGGTAGGGGACCTGAATGCTAAAGTAGGAGAAACTTTTAGAGAGGGTGTGGTAGGTAAGTTTGGGGTGCCAGGTGTAAATGATAAAGGGAGCCCTTTGATTGAACTTTGTATAGAAAGGGGTTTAGTTATAGGTAATACATATTTTAAGAAAAAGACGATAAATAAGTATACAGATCTCCCTAAATATTCGCGTTTTCAACTTTCGCGGGCTTCACACATTCGCAAATTCCCAACCACCAAATTCCCAGCCTCCAAATTCCCAGCCGCCGAGTCATATTTAAGTTTCCCACCACCTGCGAGTCCCTACTACCCTCCCTCCGACCCCCGCAATTGGCAGCCAGCCCTCCCATCAGTGTGGTGAGTGTTTTGTATGTTCATTATTTGCTATTAAACTACAGTATAAATAATGTAAACCCATTCATGACTGCATATTGGAATGGCTATTCAGACAGGTATTGGACGGTGACATCATGTGTTTACTCTTGAACACAGCAAAGAATCAAACATTTCTGCTACTTCTAATAATAACAATAGTAATAATAATAATAATAATAATAATAATAATAATAATAATAATAATAATAATTGCGATAGAAGTGAAGAAGGAAATTGTGCAAAAATACGAGGGAGTGGTTGACACATCGTCAGTGTGGCTTTGTTTATGCTGGAGTGAGCATTAGTCTCCGTGCTCTTCCAAACATTTCACAATAATTCATTGTGTTTGGTGCTTGTAGATTGAGTGCGACTGGAGTAGTAGAGGCAGTGGTTGAGGAAGCGGTTGAGGCAGTGGGTGAGGCAGTGGGTGAGGCAGTGGGTGAGGCAGTGAGTGAGGCAGTGAGTGAGGCAGTGAGTGAGGCAGTGGGTGAGGCAGTGGGTGAGGCAGTGGGTGAGGCAGTGGGTGAGGCAGTGGGTGAGGCAGTGGGTGAGGCAGTGGGTGAGGCAGTGGGTGAGGCAGTGGGTGAGGCAGTGGGCGAGGCAGCACTTGAGACAGTTGGTGAGGCAGTGGGCGAGGCAGTGGGGGAGGCAGTGGTAGAGGCAGTGGGTGAGGCAGTGGGTGAGGCAGTGGGTGAGGCAGTGGGTGAGGCAGCGGTTGAGGCAGTGGGTGAGGTAGTGGATGAGGCAGTGGGTGAGGCAGCGGTTGAGGCAGTGGGTGAGGCAGTGGGTGAGGAAGCGGTTGAGGCAGTGGGTGAGGCAGCGGTTGAGGCAGTGGGTGAGGCAGTGGTTGAGGCAGTGGTTGAAGCAGCAGTTGAGGCAGTGGGTGAGGCAGTGGGTGAGGCAGTGGTTGAGGCAGTGGGTGAGGCAGCGGTTGAGGCAGTGGTTGAAGCAGCAGTTGAAGCAGTGGGTGAGGCAACGGTTGAGGCAGTGGGTGAGGCAGTGGGTGAGGCAATGGTTGAGGCAGTGGGTGAGGCAGTGGGTGAGGCAACAGTTGAGGCAGTGGGTGAGGCAGTGGTTGAGGCAGTGGTTGAAGCAGCAGTTGAGGCAGTGGGTGAGGCAGTGGGTGAGGCAGCGGTTGAGGCAGTGGTTGAAGCAGCAGTTGAAGCAGTGGGTGAGGCAACGGTTGAGGCAGTGGGTGAGGCAGTGGGTGAGGCAACAGTTGAGGCAGTGGGTGAGGCAGCAGTTGAGGCAGTGGGTGAGGCAGCAGTTGAGGCAGTGGGTGAGGCAACGGTTGAGGCAGTGGGTGAGGCAGTGGGTGAGGCAACAGTTGAGGCAGTGGGTGAGGCAACAGTTGAGGCAATGGTATTTAATAACATATATGTTATTAATATAATAATAATACATGTTATTAATAACATGATATTAAATACAATTGCCTCAACCGTTGCCTCACCCACTGCCTCCCCACTGCCTCAACCACTGCCTCACCCACTGCCTCACCCACTGCCTCACCCACTGCCTCAACCACTGCCTCAACCACTGCCTCACCCACTGCCTCAACCACTGCCTCACCCACTGCCTCAACCACTGCCTCACCCACTGCCTCACCCACTGCCTCACCCACTGCCTCGCCCACTGCCTCACCCACTGCCTCACCCACTGCCTCACCCACTGCCTCACCCACTGCCTCACCCACTGCCTCACCCACTGCCTCAACCACTGCCTCAACCACTGCCTCAACCACTGCCTCGCCCACTGCCTCTACCACTCCAGTCGCACTCAATCTACAAGCACCAAACAATGAATTATTGTGAAATGTTTGGAAGAGCACGGAGACTAATGTTCACTCCAGCATAAACAAAGCCACACTGACGATGTGTCAACCACTCTCTCCAATTTTTGTACAATTTCCTTCTTCACTTCTATCGCAATTATTATTATTATTATTATTATTATTATTATTATTATTATTATTACTATTGTTATTATTAGCAGTAGCACAAATGTTTGATTCTTTGCTGTGTTCAGGAGTAAACACATGATGTCACCGTCCAATACCTGTCTGAATAGCCATTCCAATATGCAGTCATGAATGTGTTTACATTATTTATACTGTTTACCTGGAGAGAGTTCCGGGGGTCAACGCCCCCGCGGCCCGGTCTGTGACCAGGCCTCCTTAGGTCAGTGTCCCAGGATGCGACCCACACCAGTCGACTAACACCCAGGTACCCATTTTACTGATGGGGAGCATAGACAACAGGTGGAAAGAAACACGTCCAATGTTTCTACTCTGGCTGGGAATCGAACCCAGGCCCTCACCGTGTGAAGCGAGAGCGTTAACCACCAGGCCACCAGAGCCCCTTTAATAGCAAATAATGAACAAACAAAACACTCACCACACTGATGGGAGGGCTGGCTGCCAGTTGTGGGGGTCGGAGGGAGGGTAGTAGGGACTCGCAGTGGTCGAGGAAGTGGTGGAGGCAGTGGTGGAGGCAGTGGTGGAGGCAGTGGTATTTAATAACATACATGTTATTAAACCATAACATGAATGTACAGTATTTAGTACAATTTACAACGTTTTCATGTATTTTATGATTGTTCATGGTTCAACAAGTTAAGGAAGCAGTATTGTATTATATTTCCCTACAATATTTTGGGGCACCAAACATTCGCGTTTTTTCAACATTCGCGAGGCTCTTGATCCCCTAACCCTTGCGAATGTTGAGGGTAACCTGTACAAGATATAATGTAGGGCGAAATGACAGTAGTTTGTTGGATTATGTATTGGTAGATAAAAGACTGTTCAGTAGACTTAAGGATGTACATGTTTATAGAGGGGCCACAGATGTATCAGATCACTTTTTAGTTGTAGCTACACTGAGAGTAAAAGGTAGATGGGATACAAGGAGAATAGAAGCATCAGGGAAGAGAGAGGTGAAGGATTATAAACTAAAAGAGGAGGCAGTTAGGGTAAGATACAAACAGCTATTGGAGGATAGATGGGCTAATGAGAGCATAGGCAATGGGGTCAAAGAGGTATGCGGTAGTTTAAAATGTAGTGTTAGAGTGTTCACCAGAAGTTTGTGGTTACAGGAAAGTGGGTGCGGGAGGGAAGAGGAGCGATTGGTGGAATGATGATGTAAAGAGAGTAGTAAGGGAGAAAAAGTTAGCATATGAGAAGTTTTTACAAAGTAGAAGTGATGCAAGGAGGGAAAAGTATACGGAAAAAAAGACAGAGGTTAAGAGAGTGGTGATGCAATGCAAAAATAGAGCAAATGAGAGAATGGGGAGATGTTATCAACAAATTTTGTTGAAAATAAGAAAAAGTTTTGGAGTGAGAATAACAAGCTAGTGAAGCCTAGAGAACAAATGGATTTGTCAGTTAAAAACAGGAGAGGAGAGTTATTAACCCTTTGACTGTCGAAGGGCCAAATCCTGAAGTTGCTTCTGGTGTCGCAAAATATTCGAAAAAAAAAAAATTATTTTTTCTTATGAAATGATAGAGAATCTTTTCCCGATTGTAAAGACACCAAAAAAACGAAATTTGATGGAAAACTGATGGAATTACGCTCTCGCGAAGTTAGCGACTTCGGCGATATTTAAAAATCGGCAATTTCGCCCACTTTGAGCTCTATTTTCGGCTAATTCCGTTATTCCAGTCAACCAAACTCATAACTATTTCTTCAGAACTCTATTTTTTCTATCGATTGAGTACAAGAAACTGCTCATTTACCGATTTCAACTACCCAATAACATGGTCAGAAATTTGCAATTTGGCCAATTTCACGAAAATTAAAAAATACGACAATTTCAAAATAAGGTCAGAATGAACAATGCAGACATTCCTGGCTCTAAAATAACATTTTCTTTGTTTATCAGTCATGTCTCCAGGTCCCTGTGATATTACTCTTGCTTTTTATTTTGAAATTTTATTCAAACAAAAAATAGAAGATTTACTGTTATGCAGACTACTGCAATACTGTAATAATTGTAAAAATTACATCAACCCATTCATGACTGCGTATTAGAATGGCTATTTGGACATTTATTGGACAATGACATCATTTGTTCACTTTTGAACATCGGCAAAAATCAAACATTTCCTG